GTGCAAGCGATTCGATCCACTCGAAGAGCCTTTGCTGCCATCTTGGCGGATGGATCCGTGGTGACCTGGGGTGACAGCAGCTACGGAGGCGACTGCAGCGAAGTTCAAGATCGTTTGAAAGATGTTCAGCAACTCGTGGGGTGCTCCAACACTTTCGCCGCTGTTTGTGGCAATGGGAGCCTGGTCAGCTGGGGTGGCGGAGCACACATGCACAGCAACCTGGAGGAAGAGGTTTCTAAACTTTGATGTGGCTGCAGGTTCAGCCGTTCAGCTGAGTGGAAGCGATTGTATGTAGTTGCGTTTCACCGACATGCCACTTTGGCAATGTTGATTGAAAACGATGTCCGAGCTCGGAGTGGCGTCTGAAGTTTAAAGCAAGACCCTTCCATGTTCGCACCTCTCTTCATGCTGCACTGCTCTCCAAGAGAGATTGCAGAACCAGGTGCTTTCCGTGGAGGATGCACCCATACCCAAAGACCTCATGCAGCCGTGTATACAAAAAGCACATCGACCTCCAGTGTCATGTGCCACTTGCTGAGCATGCTTCACATGGCCCTGACCAAAATTCGCAAGATATTTTCAGAAGGTCAACTTACAGCCTTACACCTTCACTGCCCACATCACATCTCAAGCTTAGCGTCTAGGCCTTCAATGTTCCTGGGGCTTCTGCGGCTTGGGGTCAGGGTGCACGATTTAAAGCATCTACACCCGAAGTATGTTAAGGCCTGAACCGGAAGGCAAGATGGCCTCCTTCCTACGCATGCGAGCTCCGCGGGCCCTCCCCCGTCTTGCCGGCCTACACCGGGCTCCCGCCAGGCTGGCTAGCGCAGGAAGCGGTTTTCTATGAAGCTCTGCGATTCCAAGGGGTTTTGTTCCGGTTCGGAAAGGTTTTCGGGGATTGCAGGGTTTAGCGCAATTCGGAGAGGCCCTCACAGCCCAACATCACAACAGTTTTCCAGCTGTAATGACAGTCTGGATGGTTCGGGAGGTGTAGGGTAGTGCAACTTGTTTGTAGTGGAGGTGTACGTAAATTAGGTACCTTTAAGCCCTAAACCCATAAACACTAAACCCTACACCCTATCGTTAGCTTTGACAGTCTACTCTCCCCGGGCTATAGTTTGAACATGCCCAGATGGCAATCTTCCACTGCGAGCCGCGCACCAAGTTTCTTCAGAGCAGCAGGAGAGGGGCCCGAAACCCTAATTCAAATATTACCAATACACTACTTTGGCAGTTCCTTACTTAAATCTAATATAATGGGCCCCAAAACCCTATTCTAATCTATAAAGGGCAGGCGTTTTATGGCCCATCTTTGATGGTCTGCGACCCCAGCCGTCTGCTCCGGGGTTCAAGGACCAGGGATCTTCAAGCCGAAACAATGCATCTCTAGACCACAACCTCAAGCACAAACCCGACATAGTGTTGATGATAGAAATCCTGCATTACCTTAAGGGACCCTAAACTATGGGAATTATGGTGTATTCCATGTATGTTATGGGTAATGCAGGATTTATACTATCAGCCGTAGCAGCAGCAATCTAAGCTTGAGGGGGGTTGCAAGACAGCAACACCACCGAGAACCGTCGGGCAGTCAGGGAGCGTCGGGAAGTAGCTCAAACCCCAAACAAAGCCGTGAGTCTTGAGTAGCTCCTAACCCTGAGCTCCTACAGCCCTAAACCGTAAACCCCATAAGCCCTAAACTCTATAAGCCCTATAAACCGTACAAGCCCTGTAAACCCTATAAACCCAAACCTAGACCTAGCCAGCTGGGGCATCGGAGCCCTGGAGCCCTGTGAAGCGAGGCTCTCAGGGCGAACTGCCCACTCAGGCACCGGTCTCCTGTGGTCCGGGCTTCCGGGGCTTAGGGTTCATAAGGTAGGGTTGAGGGTGTAGGGTTTAGGGTTTAGGGTTTAGGGGGCTTATGGCCGAGGGAGTCGAGGACATTAGTATCGATGCAATTTCGGATTTGGGGCTGTGGGTTCAGATTCGAGAGTTCTGGCTTAGGGTCTTGGAAATTGCAGCTTCAGTCTCAGAGCTTGGGGCCAGAGTAATGCAGTCTAGGGATATATGGTAGGGTCTGGGGTCCAACTATGCTTGTCTGTAGTTCATGGTCTCTCTGTCAAGGAAGCCGGAGAGCCAATGATTACTTTGGTGGCATCCACCTTCAGGGTAAAGCCCTAGAGCCGAAAACAAAAAACACTTCACACCTCGGTTTGCTGAGTGCAGAGCTCTGTTGGTCTACAGGAGCCCTGCTTTAGGAGTTTTTGTTGGTTCAACGCGAAGTACGACGCAACTTTGCAGCTCTCGATGATTCCCGATGTAGGGTTCATGATCGGGCAGAGAAGCCCTAAGCCCTAAACCCTAAAGCCCTAAGCCCTAAACCCTCCCAAAGCCGCAACCCTCAAGCGAAACCCGAAATCCCGAACTCGGGACCGGCAGCTTTAAGCCAAGAGGAAGCCTAGGCCTAGGCTGAGTTCTTGTCAAGGAACTTAGCTTAAGTTAAAGTAATAGGGATCTATAGCAATAGTAGGGTTTCCTTGCTATGGTAGCTGGAAAATACATTCCGCATTAAGAAGCCAGTGTATGAAACTCTATAATAGTTTTGAGCCGAGCAGGCCGACGTGGTCATCATCGGGGGCGGGTCCATCGGAACGCCGCGGCCCTGAGGGCATCAGGTTATGAGCATTGGGTTTCCAGGGCCCGTCTGAAAGCAGCCAGTGCCAGTACAACGGTATGGAATAAGAAGAGGATATTAATATGATGCATCATTCAACAAGAGTCGCCGCTTATGGGCTGAGAATGTACTCGCCGAAGTCTTGAGACAGTCGTCGCCGTTGTAAGTTGTAAGAGCAGTAAGGGTCATCGCCGTGCTGGTGCTGGCAACTACTGTTGCGACAGTTGGTACCGAAAAGAAGGTGCATGTTGCTTACATAGACTTCTAGGGCTCTAGCATTCGAGGTACTAAGTAGGTGCTACAAAATTCCGTACTGCTTTACATGAACTTATGCCTTTTATTCTTGTCGTTTTGTAGGGTCCCTCTAAATTCCATTAGGGTTGATGTAAAGTTATGGAAGTTTAGGGGCTAGGCTGCTAAGCTTTGATGATGAAGTTGTCATCGCTGTTGGATGCAAGAAATGCCACCTATGGAAAAAACGATAGTGTCTTTGTAATTAGAAGTACTATTCCGTAGGGTTCCTTATTGTAGCTGTTATACTGCAACATGGCCCAGAATCCTAGTCTAATTAGCAAGGCACCTATCTATGCTACGATGAAGGCAGCATGGTTCGGTCCCAGGTCAACTTTGTACCACCTGCGCAAGGAGGCCGGTCTTTCCATGGGTTCAAGAATGCATTTGGGGTTAAGGGGTCTAGGAGCATAATTTGGGGTTTAGGAAGTTTAGGAGATGCAGGGACTTCAGCAGATTTCGTACAGAAGGCTTCAGGACTTGCAGAGAATTCTCAATTCATCTAGCGGATCGCTGTGCACTGAGAGTCATTTATTTGCCAACTTTCTGGGAGCATCTCGGCCGTCAGAACACGAAACGTCCGGAAATTGTAGCTTGCTTGCTTCGCAAATCCAACCCTGATATACTGTTCAACACACCCGTGAGCCTCAATGTTGATACTCTGAAACAGACATGCGCTGCTCAAAACGTAACTGACGAAGGCGTCGAGCTGTTTGATTGAATTGTGGCTAAACTGTGCTCGTATGTACCGGATTCACGTGCACACAGCTGGATTCAGATATGGCAAACAAGCCTCGCACGCCGAAACCGATGTATATATTTTTTTATATTCATATATTTGTATCTTTATATATTCATATATTAATATATATATATATATTATGTATTTATGTATTTATATTTTAAATATAGATATATGTATTTATTTATTTATGTATATATTTATACATTTATATATGAATCTATATTTATATACTTATATATTTACATATAAATATATTTATTTATTTACTTACATACTTATATATGTATATATTTTTATATTTATTTATCAATATATGTATGTATTGATATATTCATATATTTATAGATTTATATGTTTATATGTTTATATGTTTATGTATTTATGTATTTATGTGTTCATGTCTTTATGTGTATATATATATATAGATATCCATGTATTTATTTATTTGTATGTATATTTACTTATTTATTTTGTTTATTTAAGGTACATATCTATCTATTTGTATATATATATACATAGAGAGAGAGAGAGAGAGAGTTGTGTGTGTGTATATATATATATATACGCATATTACATGTGTGTAGCGTAGCTGTTATATGCACATAGAGGCATGTACATCCACACTGCCCCCGTAGAACTCTAAACCCTAAGCCCGATACCCCAAGCCGCCCCAAGCAGCTTTGCCGAGGGGGTCAATGCCGTCCTTTTGGAGCGTCATCAGCTCACAGCTGGTACGCTCTGCCCTCAGGTTCACGGCTTCAGGATTTTTAGAATTTTAGGATTTTTAGGGTTTTTGGGTTTTAGGCTTTCAGGGTTTTTAGGGTTTAGGTTTAGGATTTCTAGGATTTTTAGGGTTTTTAGGGTTTAGGGTTTTGTCTTGTGGGGTTTGGGATTTTGGGGTTTAGGGGTTTTCTGCGGGGTTTGCACGGTGGCTCGGGGCTTAGGGTTTAGGGCTTGCTGAGTTTCCATGGAGCATCCAACAGGGACCTAGTGCGCATACCTTGGCCGGGACAGTATTCACCGACCTTTCTGTATAAGGAATCGAGGGCAGAACTCCGGCACATGACTCACAGCTTTGCAGGGTTGTAGTAATCTCGGAGGCAGAGTGCAAGAGTCCATCTTTGGGAGTGTAGGCGGCAGCTTACAGGTATTTGTCATGCTCAGCCCGTGTCGCAAGCTCTCCTATCTTCGAATTCCCATTCTGAATTCTTTCCTAGCCCCGAACTGTTCATGAGGTCGATCCTGTGACCTGATTCCTCATCTTGGCTGAGGACCTGGCATTCCGCAGGCATGCTGTGGAGGCTTCGCCCCTCAGATGCTGACATCGAGCTCAACGCCTACTCGCGTGGGAGCCTCAGGCATCTAGGCCCGGAAGATCCACAAAGCGCCAAGCTTCGGACCGGTGGCTCACATTCCAATGAAGTTATACAAGGTCTGTTGGGTTTCTGGATTTTGGGGCTCAGTTTTCTCTGTTCCTTTATCACACATCCTATTGCTGCTTCTGAGGTCAGGCTTGTTGGAGCTTCCAATCATTAGGCAAGCGATGCATCTCTGCTGGTGCTAGTTCTGCATTGACCTTGCAACAATCACCATGTGAGAGTCGGTGCACCAAGATTCTCGTCACAACTTTGCCAAGCCGTTTTTTAACCAGACAGACATGCACCTGTGAAAGTCCCGAACAGGCCCCCATGTCAATCAGGTTTCTCTTGGCGAAGGCTGTTATGCAACCTTACTTGCAACGTATTCCGTTAAGATCTTGTGGCGCCGGGTGAGTCAGTCAATGAAAGTAATGTGGGGCCTTCCCCGAGCTGCTAATGCAATCCGGCTGAGATATGTCAAGCAACACGAGAGTTCCTCGGAGTCATTGTACTTCTGCAGAGTTTACTCGTCCACAGGATCCTAGCCTGAACATCCCGAAGCCGAACGCTCTGAACCTATCAACCCTATAGAGACCACAAACCCTATAAACCATAACTTATCGTAACTGTAGAGTCCGAGCACTTGTCAGTGGAAGCCTCGAGACAGCAAGACAAAGTACGAGATCCGAGGCACACAAGGGGTCAGAAGCCTGTTGACGAGGGCCGTGTAGGAGTCATAGGACTGCGCATCGGAGCGCAAAGACTAAACGACCTGGACCTCCCCCCCCCCGNNCCCCCCCCCCCCCCCGCAAAAACAAATTCCCAAACTACTCCGACTCCACCCCAAAACCCAAAACCCCGAATGCGTCTTTGCGCTACATGGTTTTTGGGCATACGTACAAACTCATCTCAACCCCGGGCAATAGGCTCGTTCCTTGCAAAGTGTAGAGAATCCCTAAATGCCCCATGGGAATTAGGCGAGATGTGCAAGAA